TGATTAGTTTTTTTGAGACAGGGTCTCTCTACATAGCCCTGACAATCCCGGAACTCACTATATAGATCAGGCTAGCCTCAAACTCACAGAGACCCACCTGCTTCTGCCTCCCAGCTCCTGAGATTGAAGGCACGCACCACCACACCCAGCCCCCTGGCTTTTGAAAAGTGGGTTTCATCACTTTGCCAACCGAACCATTCTCTGGTGCAGGCTCTTCTGAACTGAGACTTGGTGTACTTATCTACCAAATGGCACGCCCAGGGTCACGCGCTGGCTCATTGGAAGAGTAGAGAAACCAGTGGGGGATGCACCAGACCCTTCTCTCGTGTCTCCTAATTATCCCGGGTATGGGCAGGAGGCTTGGGCTCTGGGCCTCACTGGAAGAAAATAAGAGGGAAGAGGGAAGACAGAGAGAGAGGACAGGGTCCCTATTCAGAGTGATGCCTTGAGGTCAAGAGGCTACTGGTCTCTGGGGAATTTCTTTGCTAAGAGCCTCACAGGCCCCACAGCCCCCATGGGGCGGAAATCCTTGACTCTCAGGACATTCACAAATCCCTCCTGGGAACTGTTTGTTGTTTTTAGCTAGACTGGGGACTCAGCTCCTGCCCAGCCCTGAGATCATTAACACTTGAAGAATGCAGCCTCTCCTTCCCTCCGTGGACTGGCCTGGATCTAGGCTTCTGCCTCTCACTCACTCAAAGACTAGGAGAGTCAGGATGCTTGGGCAGGGGGAAGGGTGTGAGAACAGTGATGAGTGACCCTTTCCTGAGGCCGAGGATGCTGGCTTTATATTCGGAATGAGGCCTTCTTCAGCACCTCCTGCCCTCACCCCGAGCTGCTGTTGCTCCCGCCATCTCATCTACCCCCTAGTTAAGCCCTCAAATGGGAATTTCTCATCTGCTTCTCCCAAGTCCCTTTTCTACCTTTTTCTGTAGTACCAGGAATCCCTAACGGCAGTGGCCAAGAACTGTCTCCCAACACCCACACATATACCTCCAGGCAGCTGCTATCAGCCTTTTCTAAGGTCAGAGGATGCCTCTTCAGTCAGTACAAAAACCCTAGGCCCCACTGCAAAGCTCTGGGAGAGGTGGAGAGATGGAAAAAGAACAGATCGGGGAAAGAGGAGACAATGGACGGACTGGCAGGCCACAGATTCTCCCCTGGAGACTCCGTGCATCCCCACTGCAGACGGAGGGGCTGCTATCAGTCCCAGGCCACCTGACGTTGCTCTCTTCCTCCTCCTGGAGAGGCGACAGAGACGGCTCTGGCCACCCCAAGAATGAGCCATATGAAGTCCAGTGTGTTCCCAGAACACAGGCAAGATCCTGGGGAGGCGAGTGAGGCCACTGAGGCCTTGTGGAGAGCCGCATGGAGGGGGAAATAGACACAGTGCGGCTGCTGAGAGACAGGTAGGGAACACTACTTGGTCATGGGAGGTGGGGAAGTCAGGGCCTGGGCCAGCATGGTAGAGACGGGTAGAGAGAAGCGAAGTCACTGGGGGGGCGGGGGTGGCAGCAGGGAGCCAGATGACCTCCTGTCCTGTTTGGGAGACTGAGAAGAGAGGATGCTATATTTCTGAGCCTACCAAGACAGAAAGGAGACTAAAGCTGCAGGAGAGGCAGCCATTCCCTCTCAGAAGTTCTTACAGGTTTCTGGAAGACAGCCAAATGAAGATGTCAGGAGACCAGCAAGGCCTGGATATATAGGCTTGCATCCTGGAAGCCGGTTGAGGTGGCACATGCCTGCTGGCATCCCAGCACTTGGGAAATGGAGGACGGAGCATCAGGAGTGCAAGGCCAATCATTCTCACCCGACTATCTGAGGCCCAACCTCAAAAGCAAAGCAAAAGACTTGTATACAGAATTTATCTGTTGGCTGCATCTAGGAGTTCAGTACGTTAGCAAGAAGAGAGGGCCTAGGGTAACGCCCTGTGGAAGCCCCACTTCTCTGTGGCCCAAGGGGAGCCCAGAAGCTGCCAAGAAAGCTCAACCAAGGCAAGCTGAATGGTCACAGTCTGGTCAGGGCCGAAGCAAGCTGTGTGGGCTGGGAAGTCAGTAAGCCTCTGGCTCCTTACCTGTGGAGAAGTGTGTGTGTGTGTGTGTGTGTGTGTGTGTGTGTGTGTGTGTGTGTCTGTCTGTCTGTCTGTCTGTCTGTCTGTCTGTGTTTAGGTGCCCTCAAAGGCCAGAGGCATCAGATCTCCTGGAGCTGGAGTTACAGGCACTTGTCAGCCACCCAACACGGGTGCTAGGAAGTAAATCCAGATCCTCTGCGAGAACAGCGTGCACTCTCAACTGCAAAGCCAACTCATCTCTCCCTCTCTCCAGTCGCCATCTTATTTTTTGAGCCAGGGTCTCTTACTGAACCCAGAAGTTACCCATTTGGCAAAACTGCCTGGCTAACAAGGTTCCAAGAATCCTCCTGTCTCTGTCTCGCCAATACTGGGATCATGATTTTTTGGGGGGATGTTTATGTTTAGATGGGGACCAAACTCAGGTCTAGACGCTTGCATGACAAGCATTAACTAAGTGAGCCGTCTCCCTGGCCCCAAGTGGAAGTCATTCTTCAGATTTGGTTGTAAGCTGGCAGAGAGATATGGCTGTATGTCATGGCAGCCTGACACTGAAGTCAGTGGGCATAGGAGGGAGACTCAAGCAAGGTCACAAGGGACTGGAGGCAGGAAAAAGATCAGAAACTGAAGAGTGTGTCCTGGAGAACAGACAGACTGGAGCCCACCTCAGAGAGCTCTTGAGACCTTCAGGAGAGCCAGGAGGTTACAGGAGGCCGGTGGAGAGGAGGAACTAGATACAGACGTGTCCAGGGAAGATGGAGAGCCAAGGGTGAGGTCCTGTTAGAGGCGCCTGCCCCTGAGGGTGGGCTCACGGGAGACCATGCAGTCTAACTTCCACCGCTGGCATCATGTGCAGGAAACTGGGATTGGCGGAGCAAGACTGGAGGGCTTTATCCTTCCCGGACCTCCAACTCTTGTGGACCTCTTTCTATCCAGAGTCATCGTTCCTGTCTGGGGTCTCCTAACCAGCTGTCCTCTCCAGGTTCTGCTGGTCACTGCTCCTGCCCCTTCGGGCCTAAGGGCTATACAGCCTTCCCGTTGTTACTAAGATCTATACATTCAGGCCCCCCTCTTCCATAGGGTGCTTCAGCATTCCTGGCTTTTCCAGATTTGTTAATTGTCCTTTTTTGTCAACTCCCCTTGGTTACCCAATCTAAACTTCCCTTCTCTAAGTGATGTGAAGACATGCCTTCCAAGGCCCATTTTTCCCTCTGAAGATGGAAGGCACGAAGTTGGGGATGTAGGTGAGTTGGTTCCCTGGCACTCACATAGCCCTGGCTGGGTTCAAGCTCCAGCATCACTTAAACTGAGCATGGTGGTACACCCAGGTAATCCCAGCACTCGGGAGCTGAAGGCGGGAGGACCAGAAGTTTAAGTTCATTCTCAGTTTAACATTAACTATGAGGCCAGCCTGGGATACATGATACCCTGTCTCAAAAGGGAGGGAGGGAAGAAGGAAGGAAGGGAGGGAAGAAGGAAGGAAGGAAGGAAAGAAGGAAGGAAGGAAGGAATGATGGATGGAAGTAGGGTTCTCTGCTGACAGCAGCCTGGAAGAGGCTTGGAGAGAGGGTTGACGTTCTAAGGCCTCTACCGTAAGAAGCAAGAATGGATTTATCAGAGGGTAAGGGTTGTTGTGTCCAGAGTGCAGAGGGTGTCACTACCACACTCCATCATCTGGCGTCCTCATGGCCCGACACAGTAGGTGTAGAAGTGGTCTGAGCAGATTTGTTACTCTGCTAGCTGGGTACAACCAAGGAGAGCAGGACAAGGGCATATCAGAGAGAGAATGGGGGAACACCTGGGAGGGTGCTGGGGGGTCCCCCACCAAGGTGAACAAGCCAGCAGGAGCAGCCAGCCAAGGACATCTGAGCATGTGACTTGAAAGTGCTCTTCCCGGGCGTGGAGAGCTGGTGACAAGAAGTGAGGTGCTAGGTAGGTTGTCCATTGAGACCCCAAGGTCTTGGGGTGGGCAGGAAGAGCAGAAGCTGCTAGCTTCGGTCTTGGACAAATGAGGGGGGGATGGCCGGGATGTACAGCCACACTCTGCGCACGTGCACGGCACACATGCACAGCCACACACCCACACCCACCCACACAGTCACACTCTCGCGCACGCCCACAGCCCTCCCAGACACTCCAACACCCTCACATGCACTCACCCTCACACGAACCCCAGACAGCAGATGGGGTGCTCGGGTAATTGGTTAAACCTGTTCCCGATGTCTGGCTCCGCCTTGGCAGCGCCCGTCTGACAGGAAAGCTGGCTGGGCCTGTACCGCTAAGCCTGCTGCCCCCCACCCCCTCCCCCTGTGTGGCTGCCCTGGAGCAGGGTCCCAGAGAGGCCTGTGGGCTAGTTGGCTCCTCTCAGGCAGAGCCTGGCTCTCTAGTAGTAAAAGAATGCTTGCTGCCCTGTGGGAAGCACCCAGAGCACCTGTGAGGAGAGGTTGGTAAGGACACCAGGCAGAGACTGAGCTGGGGAAGTTCGGTGGACAAGAGGAAACAGTGTGATTGCTCCCAGACAGGAAGCACATGGGCTGGGCCTGAAGAGTTAAGAACTCCTGCGTGCTACACTTAGTGATGCTTGTGTCGCTCTGTGCTCTTAAGGAGCTCAGAAGAATCAGGCCATCATTTGGTGGGGCTCTGGAGGTCAGCACCACGATGAGAAGTGGCCAGGCCCGCTTGCTTAGGGAGGCCTAGCCTGGCAGCTCACCGGGACAGAGAGAGATACAGGGGAGGAAGCCAGTGTCCACTCTCTGGCCCTCTGCGGGTCCCCCTCTCCAGCAGGAGCCACCGGGAAAGAAGGAACAGCCGTCCCTGTCTTCTCTCGGTTCGGCTGCATCTGCGTCTCTTCGTCTCTTCGGGAGAGACTTCGGTTTGTTCCCTGGAGAGGGCCCAAAAACTCCCAAATTAGCAAACCTGGCAAGCCCGCAGCTCAGAAAATAGTTCATCCTGATTCCATGTTTTTCAGGCTCACAGAAGCCTTTATTAATGAAGTCACAACACCAATATTTACCGTCTGCGGGAGAGGCACAACATGGGGGGATGGAGGGGGCTCCCTGCCCCGCCCCAGCAGGCCTGCCTAGGAAGATTGGCAGGTTTCCGGTCTTTCTAGTCCTTTATTTTCTTGACAGGGCATTCTGCTGTGATCTGCCAGGACCCATCCCCCCACCCCACCCCCCAGCCAAGCATGGTAGGATCTTCAGAGGAAGGGCTCGCCCGTTCTGTCCCACCACCACCAGAGCTGAAAAGGGAACCTCTCCTCACTCCCACCCTGCCTCTTCATGCACACCCCCCACACACAACTACTGCACTTGGTTGGCAGGAAGAGTTGTTGTGGGTTTTTAAATTCAGACTTCGCCAGGTGAAGACTTAAGATTTGAGGGATGTGTTCATTTGATGGAGGAGGGATCAAGAGGAACAAAGTCTTTTGGTTTCTGGAAATTGGAATGGACATCAGCTTTCGAGACAGGTAGAGCAGAAGAAGGTACCCACAGGACCGTGGGAGTGTTCTCAGCAAAAGAACCTTGTGTGCCCAGATTTCTGCACCTAGCCCCGGCAACATGAATGAACCTGGCTCAGAGGTCCACAGGGTACTCACCAACATCCCAGATAGGAAGAACAGCACAGGCCAGCAAAAGCCATGGCAGCTCACTAAGGGACACCAGGAGCAATGTAGGAGAGGCTACAGGTCAGCACAGGACTGAGAAAAGGGTGACACTATCCTGCCTTGTAGCTAGAGTTTTCCTGCCTGGCACACTGCCTGATCGGGGGAACAGAGCCCTCCTGGTCACAGCATGGAGGATCTTCTTGGATATTCACAGAAGCCACTTAGCATCCATGCTCTTCCCAGAGAGCAGACTGGGGTCAGGCAGGTGGCAGGGACTGCTGAGGGATGCTGCGTTGACCAAGTGTGACTGGACACCACTGTCTAGCCAGGAATTGATGAGTTGTGTAGGACAGACGTGAGGTATGGATGAACCAGAGGAAGAGGAGACGAGGGACCCAAAATGGAGACATAGGGGCTAGGGGGGAAAGGAGGGTGCTTCTGCAGATGAAGAAACAGATTACTCAGGAAATGGGTGGATGTGGCTGCCAGGGGATCTTGGGACAGTGGTTAGTGATTGCCATTCATGTCAGCAGAGTGCTAGAGTGGATGGTTGGGGAGCTAGTTCATGGGAGGTGAAGTAGAGGCAGGCCTTGGTGTTGGTTGGGGACAAGACTGTTGGAAGTTCTCCAGGATGGAGGAAAATGTGTTAAGGGGGAAGGACAAATAGACCAACTAAAGGGCAGAAGGACAAGAGTCACTGGACCTGCCTTGCCTTCCTTTGATGATGACCTCTGCAAGCCAAGCTCACAATCAAGCCCATGGACACCAGGTGTGGTGGCTCATATTACAGTCCAGCACTCAGGAGGCTGAGGCAGGGGATTGATGTGACTAGGAAGCCAGTTTGGGCAACAGAGTAAGATCTTGTATCTGAAAAAGAAACAAACAAAAACAAACAAACAAACAGACAAACAAAGCTGCCTCGGGTTGTTCAGGACAGACACACATCTGTGTGGGGCCTGGACTTGGGAACCTCCTTAACCCATCCCCAGGACTCCTTCCTCTGGATTCTCCTCAGCTTGAGAAGCCACTAGAGTCTGTATGTGCAAGGAATCTCTGCCGTCCTAACCCTCCATGCGTTTGGAAAGACCCAGCCGAGGCGTCCCTTCAAGTTCCTGGGCCCTGAGCACCCTTGCTGATCAGCCCCCACTGTGCTGAGAGCTGAGACTCACCAGCCCAGGCTCTACAGTTGAAGATGGATGGCTGTGTCATTAAGAGAGAGATTTTTATTGTTCCCATAGGGAAGGGGACATGAGAAGATCACTAAGAACTATAGCAGGTACCTGGAAAATAAATTAAAACAGAAAGTCTCAAAACAAAGACAGAAAGAGACATGGAGAGCAGCTGGGAGGCTGCAGTGACGGCTGGCCCACCCAAGCAGCAGGCTCTCCACCAGAAGGCTGAGCAGTCCCAGGCCTCAGCCAGCCCATTTTCTTGTCCCTCTGACAGTGATGGCCCCAGGCTCCAAGCCCTGTGGGGCCGTGACTCGAGGCCTCCCTGCAGCCTGGCTAGGGACTGGCCAGAGTCCAGCTTGGGCCCCCTGGGGCCCTGGCCAGCAGCAAGCAATACTCTGCCCGTGTGGGCTCATGATTGTTCCCCTAGTCATTAGAGGTGACATCAATGTCCTCCCCGTTGGCCTGCTTCGTGGCGATACGCCACCGGTTGATATGGTGAGAACCCTTCTTCTTCTGTTCGGACTCAGGCCCTTCCTCCTCCAGCTTCTGCCGTTTGTATTTTGTCCTCCGATTCTGGAACCACACCTTCACCTGGGCCGGGAGGGAGGGAGGGGCACAGGTAAGAAACACCCAAAGCAGCCGGGATGGCCTCTACACTCCAGCTAACCTGGGAGTCAGATGGGGAAACTGAGGCTACAACAGGTCAGGATTTTCTCTTCCAGGCATCTGTGACTTGGCAGGTCTGGAGGACTGCTCTTCAGATGCAAGTGAGGAGGGCTGGGAAAGGACTGGGCCACAGATAAGGGCAGTTTTCCAACCTCTCTCCAATACAGACAAAGGAGGGGGCGTGGCTGCCGAGCCTCCTGGTCCCTGCAGCCAGAGTGAGCAGACAGAAGAGGGATCTGCCAATATCCAGAGAAGATGCAGTCACCCCCAGAGGACCCGAAGCACACTCCACCTCCTGTGCTGGTCCCACAATGCCTCACAGAGACAGACAAGGCTTCACGACCTGGAGTTGGAAGAACATGGCCTGTGACAGCCAGACTACATCTAAGCTCCCAGAACCATCAATGGATACTGAAAACTCACATGCTGTCTGTCAGCCTTATTCATCCTGGAACCCTGTCCTTGCAGTACTGTGGAATTTTCCTACCCACTTCAGAAGTAGAACTGTGCAGGCCAGAGCTGTGTGGTGGGGTACCCTTGTCCCTCAGGTACCAGCTCCTTGGGGGCAGTCTGAAATTCACCCACGAACCTCTGACTTCCTTGGACAGACAAATATGGGGCGAGTTTTGTCTGAGGCCACATCCCCACACACAGGGTCAACGCTGAACCTCCTGATCCAACAGAACTGGCTCTTGTGGCCCATCTAGATGCCGCAGGTCACACAACAGCCAGAAGAAATATTGGAGGGCAGAACTGAGCGCCTATTTGAACATAGGGAGTCTCCACTTCCGTGCCGGGCAGTGGGAGTCTCTGTAAGAAGAAGGGTGGGGCTTGCGCAGCTGGACAAGCATCTTCTGTGACAACAGGAACAGGCCTGCGGTTCTAGGCATCTCCAGGAAGCCCCATTGAGTCCCATCTCTACCATCTTCCTTCCTCCTCTCCTAGCTCCAATCAGTCCTCCTTCCTCCTCCTCTCCCAGCGTTACTGGGTGTCCACGACACAGCTCACACATCCTCCCATGAGCGGCTCCCCATGGACTCTCAGTACTTCCACGCCATGGAAGAAGCATGAGCCCACCCACTTTGACTGTACATCTCTTCCCTTGGCTTTGAGCACGAGCCAAGCCCAAATCCTTCTTGGTGCTAGCAGGAGAAATTGGGGTACCCTCCTCAGCTAAGTCTCTTCTCTCCTATGGTCTTACATCCCTCACCCACAGGAGAGATGCTTTTGGAAACCCTTGTTGCTCCAAGGCACCTCCTGGTCTCCTGTGCCGGTGGATCCTCTGGGTAGGGGTTGTGGGGAATGGAATGGCAAGTCCTGAGGTTTTCCTGGGAATATCAGCATGGTTAAAGCAAGCAGGGGCTGCCTGCTGTGGCTGTGCAGACAACATGGGTGAGTTGTTTGTGTACCGTGGTGGTGGTGGTGGTGGTGGTGGTGGTGGTGGTGGTGGTGGTGGTGGTGAACAGTTCTGGCAACTGCAGTGATTGCGGAAAGGGGGTCTAGAACCCAGGGCTGGGCTGAAGGCCGCCCTTGGGGACAAGCACACACAGCTGCAAAGGCAGGCGGTGGCAGCCAGGGTGGGCCTGGCATCCTGGCTGTAGGATGGTTTCATGCCTAGGATGTGCCAACCTCACACACCCTTCCTCCCTGTCATGGAGGCCCTCCCAGGTTCTTCTCACAGTCCCAGCAAAAGGCCTCCACTGAGCCATCTGTCCTGCCACTAGGTTGGTGGTGGGAACACTGATGCTCAGTGCTCCAAATGCCACCAGCTCAAGGCAAGGAAGCTGGTCCAGGGAGCATCTGGCTCCTGGCCTTGGTGGGTGAAGTTACAGGGAGGGACTCCTTCCCTCCTGTCCAAGGCAGGGGTCACACTTGTAGCCTGTACACCTCTCTTCAGGTAGACAGGAAGGACTATTGCGTGCTCTGAGCTCAGGACTTCTGGATTCCATGCCCACTTAGGCCCTGGATGGTTCTCAGCACACCACTGGCAGTCAGCCCAGCTCCTGCCCTCCACCCCAGAGCACACTGTGACTGTGCCATCCAGTGGGTGGATGAGCTTACCCTGCCTCCTGTGTATGACTCAGATCTGGATACAGGATGTCACATCCGACAAGTCCAAGTGGGCTGGATGCAAGCGGTTTCAGGTGGCAATGGACAGCACCCAGAGACAGAGGTCACTTTCTGCACCCCTCTCCCTTGCCCCATCCTCAAGTTTCCTTCTGGAGACTCATGATTACAGTGGCCTCTAGCATGCTACCCTTGCCTGGCAACTCTCTTCCAACGAAGAAAAGTGTCCATGGCAGAGCAGAAGCCCAGGGCACAGCTTCAGGCCTAGCACATCACATGAAAGAGGATCCCAACTATTTTTTTTTTCCAAAAAGAATTAAGTTCGCCAGTCTTCAGTTGGTAGAGTACTTGCCTAGTATGCACCAAACCCCAGGACCACACAAGCTAGAGGTGATGGCGATGTCCATAGTCCCAGCACGTGGAAGGTAGGGACTGAAAGTCATCCTCAGCTCTATAGTGACTTTGAGGCCAGCCTTGATGACATGAGTCCCTATTTCAGCAACAACACTGGGGACAAGAAAGCAGCTCGTTCCCTCTCTAGAAACCAGGGCACAGGCCTCTTCTTAGGCAGCCTGGCTGTCTTCTGCAGAACAGCCCTGGGCTGGGTATCCAGACGCTGTTTCTAAAGCCTGTAATAACAGGGACAGTTGTGACTTCGTAACAGTACAAAAGCCAGGACGCAGAGTGTTGGTAGTGTCTCACAGCCCTGGGAGACAAAAATCTATGCATGGGCGAGGAAGAACAGAAGGGAACGGACCCAAACCACCCGTGGCTTTTGTCTGTTCCCTTAACTCTTCTGAATTGTCTTTAGCCCATTACTGATATCAAGAGTTCTTCCCCCCACCTCCACCCCCGGATTAAATATAAAGAAAGGAACTGGCTTGCCAGGACAATAGGAGATGACACCCTATAACCAAACCAGCTAGGCGACCCTGGGGTCAGCCCTTTGCTAGAGGGCAGAGGCCCTGTAAGGCAGGCAGATCACATAGTGTGGCTACTAGCTCCACGAGAACCAGTTGCAGGAGGCCATACCTGTCAATATATTCTCTCCACCCAGCATCAATATGTATTTACCTCTCTTAGCCCCAAAGACACGTGTGGGACGCTGGCTGGAGGCCCCACCCACCCAACTTGACCCCGGTTGTTTGTGGGAGAAGCTCCTGTGGTGGTCTCCTGAATTCCCACTTCACTGAGTATCTCCCAATTTTGTAGTGAAGCCATTTGGGGCTGGATTATGTAACCTGGGACTCTCACTTGGCCTTCAAGAGCCTGCTCAGGCATTCCTGGACTCCAGGAAGACAAAGACAAAGCAGTGTCTTCTTCTGGCTTTGGAGTTAAGGCCCAAGGCCCAGAGGCCTGTCCAGGTGTGGCCATCCAGTTGGACAGAGATGGAGTGACCCAGCCCTGTACTGAAGGCAAGTGGTACCAGGGACAGATCTGGAAAATGGGAGGAACCATCAGAAGAGACCTAGAACGAATCCGAAAAGGGGCTGGGGCAGTGCTAAGTGCTAAAATGCAGAGTCCTTTAGTGGACATGCTTTTGCAAGAGGGTTTTTTGTTTATTGGTTGGGGGAGGGTTGCTTTTATTTGGTTTTGGTTTTGGTTTTGTCAAGACAGGGTCTCACTATGTGGCTCTGGCTGATCTAGAACTCCCTATGTAGACCAAGCTGTCCTGAGCATCAATTCTTAATTCTGTATTAATTGGCTTGGGAGAAAACCAAACTGTTTGGTTAGCTTCTACTGCCACCTTAACACACCCTAGAATTTTCTGAGAAGATAGTCTCAGCTGAGGACTTGCCTAAATCAGATTCACCTGTGGCCATGTCTGTGGGAAATTCTCTTGATGATTAATGTAGGAAGGCCCAGCCCATTGTGGGCAGAGCCTTTCCCTGGACAGGTGTATAAGAAAGTTAGCTGAGCATAAACCTGCCTGTCATCCGCCAAGCAACATCCTCCATGGTTCCTGACGCACCTCTTTGGCTGTGAAGTGAGTTCCTTGGCGACCTGTGTGAAACAACCAGTGGGCCTGCTACCTTCAAGTACCTGCCTTGACTTCCTTCAGTGATGGACCGGAATTAATCTGGAATTGTAACCAAATAAACTCTTTCCTCCCTTAAGTTTTTTTTTTTTTTTGGTCAGGATATTTTAGAAGCAGCAACATAAAACTAGACTGGATAGGAAAATTTGTGCACAGGAGACTTGAAACCAGGAAGAGCACAAGGAAGAGAGAGTGGATACACTGCTTGCTGGACCCACTGTAGAGAGGGCAATGCTCATCTTGAGTCATGTGGGATGAAGAACAAGAAGCTGCTCTGGATGGACCAACATACCACTTCCTCAGAGGACTGTACGTTATGGTGAAGACGTGTATGCGTGAACACGTGCACGATGGAGAGAGCTTACACGTATGTGGAAAACAGCTCCTGTTAATGTTTCAGAGCTCACCACACTTAACGTCTGCTGTCTTGAACAAAGGAGGGCTCCCCCCAGCTTTCTCGCCCCTCCTCCAATCTCAGCCTTTCAGCTCCAGGTGCCTGTACACTGTTCAGAGAAGTCCCTGTCCTGTCTTCAGGACGTCCAAACGTCCCTGTCAAGATCTTGTAACTCTGACATGGGAAGTTCTCCTTATGGTCTACTGTGCTCTCCTCTGTTTTAATTTAAGCATGTCTTCTTAGTCTGTCGGTCTCAGACACAGAAAGTCCTTAGAATAGACAGCAGCTTGGCGACATCAATCAAACCACACTCCAGCCTGCTCTCTTCCCTGCCCTCTCTTGGGGATCCGTGTCTTATCTTTTGATCATGTCAGCCTTCCTATGCCCAGAGTCAGCTCAACCCTCACTCCCCCAAGCCGAGGTCAC